TCACAGCATTGCCATTCCTTGTTGACCCATTGCTGAGCGCCGAGTCGATGCTTTCATTGAACAATCATAAATCCAGGATCATTTTCCTGAGAAGTATCAGGTAGCTCAGAAAGTATCATTGAGTACCTAAGGTCAGAATAGCTTTGCATGTAAGATTGAGTTTCACCTGCCCTTTTATCACACAGCCAAAGCCCGTTGTGAGGTCCTTCCACAACTCTTTGTGGCTGGCTTGTCCTAACAACATCAGCTACAGCAGCGTAGTGTTGTTGTATATATTGTCATACCAGTATTCAGCCTTTTTCCAGTTACAGTTAATTTATAAAATGAGAAATACCAGATTCAGCTGAGATCTCTTTGGGACTCCTCCCATGCGCAGAGGTGGTGGAGAGGGTTTTTATGGAGCATATGGCTCATCTCCATTCAGTATTATTTTTAACAGCCAAGATGAATCAAAAGTCAATTTTGATTCTTACCCTCCAAAAGACCCAGAGTATAAATATGGATGTACTGTTTAAGCTGCTTGCTTAAAATAATTCACTGGAACACCACCAATACTTTTGTGAGGTACTATTTTTTAAAATAAATTAATTTTGTGGATAAATTAATTGCAGAACCCCTTGATCAGCTTCTCCAGTTATCTGAAATGATTAAGCCATTGCTAACACACCATTAACCACTGTTTCATAAGAAAGAGTTACAGATTTTAAAAAAATCTACCAACTTGAAAAAGGATGATACAAAACTCCAAGACCAAAATGACAGTATTAAGATGTGAACAGCACATATATCCTTCTATCTTAGGTATCCTTCTATCTTCAGGTCTGTAAAATTACATCTTCGGGACATGAAGAAATATTCAGTATTTTTATATGCTGTAAAGAGACTCATGACATCACCCAATTCAAAAGCTGCATCCAAGAAATAAGGAAAAAAGCAAGGCCAGAGACAGTATTTCTGCCTCATCAGCTAAAGAGCTGAAAATATTTGCTTTATTCTCAGCTCTCTTCTCAATAGGTTGCAATGGAAAATTTTACAGGAGGCTCAGCATTTCTAGCTCTCACATAAATACTGAGGATCCAAGCTACCACATGAAAGCTCCTCTCAAATACACACATAGTTTTCCATCTTCATTACAATACCATAAACTGAGTGAGTACACTGTGGGACATGCATGTTTGTGGCATGTAACAGTAATCAAGTAGAAACAGAACTGCATGTTCTCTGTACGTCATATTAAATATAATTGTACCTACTCCTCTGCAACAACTTCAGCTAATTAGTCAACAGGAAAGCAAAATAGCAATTATTTCATATTTAATGAAAATCCAAACCTCCTCCTTTTAGGTGATGAAACCTGCCCCTAATAGTTACAGCTGAAGCTCAAAAGCTCAATATAACATTTCCTTTAGTTAAGGTAAACTTGCCATATGGAAGTTACGTGAAAATTTAATGTCATGCAAAGCCCAAAAAAAGCTAATAGCATATGATAATGATACATAAAAATAGTAAAACTTAAATAGAAACACTAGTTTTCACAAATTGTACTTAGACTAATTGGTATCAAGATATTTAGAGTAAGCACCTCAGGTACTATGCGAACAGTAACTCTTGACTTTTGAGCAGTTACAAATTAAGCTCATTTTTGTACAGAGCACTGCAGGAAGCATCACGAGTTTTATAAATCCTCTCTCATTCAGATACTTCTCTGGAAGATATTACTGCATACATCAATCAAATGCAACTCCAGTTTGTCAAACTGGACAGGAGGGGGGAAAAAAAAAAGTACCATTCCTCCTTTAGGGCGAGCACAATCCTCCTTTACATGCTGAAATCTCATCAAATTCTGACAGTTTAGTGGATATCTCCCCCCCACACCCTCTTTTAAAATGAGCTCACTCATCATTTCAAGCATAGCAAATACATTCTTCAGCTGTTTTTTCTGGGAGGGAAGCGGGGAGGTGATGGAGAAGAATAGGAGAGGAAGTGGAAGACTTCCCCCTCCCCCCTTAGAAGAAAATGACAGGCGTGGTTACCTATTTATAATTGCAGATTTTTGACAGGCAGCATGCAGATATCTATCCCTTCAAGATTTTACATCACAGGCTCTAATTGGAGCAGTGTGGTGCACGGGTGAACAAAGGCCTGTATCCTTTCAGCTGAAAGTAGAAAGGGCCACAGCTACATCAGCAACCCCTCAGCTGAAATCGTGCTACAGGACTCCTCAGTGGCAGGACTGTACATAAACATTCTCCATATGCACAGTTACCACTTTTACTATTATGCACGTGGGCAACTGCAGAAGATTAATAACTAATACTTTCTTTTTGTTAACAGATGAGATTTGCAAAGACCAACCAGAAAATAGTCTCTTCAAAGTCTGTATCGACAGTCTTCATCCCCAGCCTAAATTAAGCTGGTGAAATAATACTAGAGCAGAAAATTGAAGGTTAGTAAACATCCAGGACACAAAATTCAGGCATGAAGACTTTACAAGACAAACAGGGAACTCTTGCTTTAGTTAACCAAAGTCCAACATCCTAAAGTAGAAAGTAAGCAATATAAATCATTTCAGAAAGGGGGGAGAAAATGACAGGATAAGTAGGAGAGAGATAGAAAAGGAGTCAGTTAAGCTGTCCGATACCACAAAAAGAATTTGGTTTTCACCTTGTAGCCTTGACATTTTTTACTACATCTTCACATAATCAAGCTGGCAGGAGAAGAGTACCATTTATTTTCTGCTCCTCCTTTCCTGCTTTCTTCAAAGGAACTTTTTTTTTTTTTTTTTTAATTGCTGTGCTGAAGAGTTGAAGGTAAACTAAGCTAATAAAACTAAACTTAAATTTCATTTTTATGGCTATGCCCTGTTCATTTTTCAATGGGTACTTCTTAGACTCTGCTTTAACTTCCATTTGTTTTAATATTTGTTGTAGCAATATGATAATGGAACATCATACAAACAATTCGTTACAATCACCTAATTCTCTCAAAAACGTGAAGACAACCTTTACTACATTTGCAGAAGAAACACGTCCTCAGTTTGCATGACAAGCTTCATATTAGGCACTAGGTACACTGCTTGGAAATAGAACTGTATAATGGAATTGCTGAGAGACTCTTCGCCATGGCATCACTGGCACTATAAATAACTAAGGTTACAAACAATACCATCATGTGAGCGTTCCAGGCCAGCCTATAAATAGCAATTCAGAAAGAACCAGCTGCTGGCACCACGACACTACCTCACTACACCACGTATTTGCTAAAGGTACCAATTTATATATGTTCACTAAGAGCACATAAGAAAAAAGTCGGGCTGTCTGAATTTTGTAATTAAATAGCTATTTACATAACCCCTCATTTTTTAAGCTGTTGATAATTCACAAAACTGCCATGATGATTTCAGATTCAACATAACTGAACACTCTGCATATGAGCAAAGTGTTAGCATTTGCAGGAATATATATATTCGCAATACTTTCCTTGATAATGAAGCCCTACTCCACAACTTCTTCAGAAAGAGCGTACTGATATGACTAAGTGGCTGTCTTTGTATTGTGATAAGAATTTTGATTTAAAAATTAACTTAGGATTTCAGCAACAAAAGCAATGGGATAAACATGATGTTATGCAAGGATACTCTAGGGATAAGATGCTCATCTACACCTACCTATACAGATTTTAAAAACACGTTTTCACAGAAAAAAAGATTGCTTTGAAAAAAGAACATATACTATTTTGATATTGTTAGTTATTTTTCCAGAAATAACAACTTAACAACAGAGTTTCATATTAACGGTAACATCACGTACTTATACAATGAAGGGAGTGGACACATTCCTTGGTAACAGATCAGTTGTACACAAGGCCTCAGAAACAATCAGAACTTCCTGAGAGATAACGGAAAAGATAATTCATGCTTTACTCGGGATGGGCTTATTCATTTTACTTTGCCATAAAAGGGAGACAATAGACACTGTCAGGGAAGAAAATGACAACAAATCACTTGTAAATACTTACGAGTCCAAAGTTTATCAATGGCTGTAAAGGTCAGATTTTTAACAATTAATATAGATACAGCCAAAGAAAAAACAACTACTACTGTATCTCTGCAGCATGCCTCACCCTGCTCACTTTCTCTACTCCAGCCACTTCTGCTCCGCTATCCCACAAATCAAATAGTTTATTCACTCCTTAACAGCACCACAACAAACTGGCAATCATAAAAATAAGGGGAAAAAGGATGGATTAAACATGTGTCCTAAACTCATTTGCTTTATTTGTGATGGAGCCTATCAAGCTGCTCCTGGGAATAACATGACTGAACTCAGTTCTCCTTATATATCTGTCCCTCAGCCTTGTTACTGATCTTTAAAATCTTCCTGGAAAAGCATTTGTCAAGCTTTTTCAAACTTTTACAAGCCTATTACTGATTTCATCTCTGCACAGAAGGAGGAGCAGCAAGGAGACTCCAGCTGATGACACAGATGAATTCTCATCCTCCAGTGCCCTCAGCAAGCCGTAGGCAACCCTCTTCATTGCAACACCCAGCATACGGACAAGCTACCACAACTCAGAACTAGTCTTGGAGAGATTTTCAGCAAAGCGGCAACATGCCATCAGCAGCACAAAGCACCAGTACAGAAACCAGTAACTCGCACCCCTGGCTTAAAACAAGTGAGATGGTCCGGGTTAAAAAGGTGAATATCCAGCCAGCAACGTACACACACCATCTTGCCATGGAGTGGTAGGACCCCCACAGAAACTGATTTTGCCATATTTTCCTCCCTCTTTCATCTCCAAGCAAGCATCACTGATCTGACTTCCAACCAGACAGATTTTTGGAACGTGGCCTGTAAAGATAGAGAGATTTGCTATTAGTAAACCAGAGACTGGGTAACCTTCAGCAAGCAGCTTCTAAAGAGTTATAGGAAAGAAAACAGGGGGACAATGCTAGGACACCATAACTCTGTATTTAACTTTTTAGTCATAAATAAGTTACCATACAGTGTTAAAGATTTAAACTTTTACCACACAAGCTCACTATTAAGTGTGAACAAAGAAAAACAAGTAAGTAACCATACAAGACACAGAAAACCCTTTAGATCAGTAATAATGTCTAGCTACTGCCAAATAGTTTTCCAGCATCCTGGCCTATTTTTATAACCTTCCATTTAACTGCAGTTATGAATCTGCTTCAGAGACTCAAATATTATGTAGACATTACAGATAAATGGAAAGTAATTCCTGGCGTAATTGGAAATTAAAGTATTATCTGTGTTTGAAACTAATTAGGTGTCTGTGAGGGAGGAATATATTAGCATAAATACTAACCAGTTCTTTTTTTGACAGATCCATGCATAGTTTTTAATAGAGTTCTAAAACATCTCTCCTTGTAACTATATCAGTTGACTAGAGATTCTATTTAAAATAAGTAATAGCAATTTCAAATTACAGCTTTTATTCTTAACTAGCAGGAAAAACTGTGCATTGTTACCTTGAAGAGCTCTGAAACATAGAAAAGGTATATGTGAGTTTCAGTTTCCAAGTTGCATGTTTAAATAGGAATGTGCTCTTTTGGTTTTGGTTGCTTTTCTCCCCTCATTTAATCATAATGAAGTCACTTGTAACATTACAGCGGTTTCCAGAGCAACAGTCAGATGCGACGAACAGAAGATAAGGGTGTGTGCGCAAGAGCTCTGTTACCCAGCAGTGATCTTGCTAGAGAATTCAGGAGAAATCTGTCAGGTCAGTGGACCAACTGGATCTTTCTTCTTCCATCGGAGAGAACAGAGTTTCATGTAATGGGGCCAGATTTTAAAGTGAGATTAAAAAAAAAATACTAAATGAGAAATATCTTTTTTTCCCCCCCAAATATCTGAAAAGCATTTATAGAGCACCTAAGTCTGTTGCACCGGGAAATTACGTAATGCTACGTATAAACATAAAGCAGGAAAAGCTACCGTAACACAGCACTTACAGTTACAGTAACATGAATGTTAATCCAATGGCTAGCTAGAGTCACCATCCTTCATAGTTAACTATCAGATTTCCCAAGCATTTAAAAAAAAAATACATTTATGAATCCAGAGCAGAAAGGATAAGGCCTAGGTAATAAACCTAGAGCAAGTAAGGTGTGTATACAAACAAGAGACTGTCTGTAAATATGAGAAACACAACGGACTGTAGATCAAAAGGCAGCCACTTCAGCACAAGAAATGCAGCCATAATCCACCCAGAGTAGTCCCATATCAATAGATAAAGCACCTTTAGGGGTTTCATGGGGTATCTGCAATTTTTCAAAACAGAGAACTTGAAATGTCACGGGTTAACTGGTTCATGTGTCTGCGTTCTAGGGCATGTCAAGTATATACACTGCACATTAATGATTAAGCCACGGCACACAACGCACACTGCACAGTCAGTTTGGCTTAAATACGTGAGAGGCACAGAAGAGCTTTATAGGAAACTTTCATCTTACTACAGTTTAAGAAATACCTCATAGATAATCAAAATGTTTCCGGAAGATTTTTCTCAGAAAAACAGTGACAGAAAAACGCTGTAATGATCTCCTAAAGAAACAGCCCCAAACCAACATTTGAAAGAAAAGAGGAGGAAAAAAAACACATGAGAAAAAGAATATTTACTCTGTACTCTGACTACGCTTCAGCAATTTGCCAGTCTCAATTATATCGTCGTGGTCGGGTCCAATTTGTCCCCCAGGAAGCCATAGGGAAAAATATACACAAGTGTTCCCTGAATAAAAGATGACTGTTCTCACACAGCTTACCTTAATACCAAGACCTGGCACAACCTGGAACATAAGATCAAAGTTAGAACTTAATCCTTTCATTTTACTATCTGTCAGAAGGGAAGGACAACACAGCAACATCAGACAGAGCTTTAGGCCTCTCTACCGCTGCTGAGCTGTACCATATTTGTTGTAGTAGTGGCAGGCACACCTGCACCCAGCCTACTGTAGCACTTCTTTCACTGCTAACAGCAACTTTAGATAAACAGTGGGAGAATTGCTAACAATTCTCAAACACCTCAAAATTATAAATGTTCTTCCAAGATGTCATCTGAACAACTTATAGCTGATGGGAACAACTATAATTCCAGCCAATTCAAAACACATCGTTGCTCTCCATCTTACCTATAGTGCTGTATGAGGTGCTAGAGCTGCTGAACGCAGAGGACAATCCACAGCTCACAGTAAAGAAAGGCCTTGTGACTCTTTCATTGAGAGCAGTGAAAAAGTACATCTTGGCTCTGGAAGCCTTGCTCAGTTGTTTCCCTCGCTCACATCCTGCAGCAAAGAGCTCCACGTTTCCTCCTCCATGCAGTAACTGTGGAATATATCATCTGGTTTTTTTTAAATGAGTTACTACTGTTTCTATGCTAGCTACTTTTGCACATCTTTATCATTATCCACTTCGTTAGTCACTTTTCAAAAATAACAGAGAAAGCAATATTTTCTACACAACTGTTTCATCATCAAGTATGGAAAGGTATTTGAATTGATGGGAATATCTGTGGACCTAAAACAATGCTGAAGAACACCACCACGAAGGTGATAAACAGGACAAAGATGCAAGATGTAGAATACAAAGGAACCAGTATTTAGCAAGACCACAGAACATGTAACTGTAAAAAGACTTACTTTCTCATGTCTTAGGGGGGAAAAAAGCAATGGAATAGACTAAAAAAACAACCAAACAAAAAAAACCAAAAAACCCACACAAGCAGATGCATTTCCTCAGAGAGTACATTTCAATTGCTCAGGCATTCAAGTAAAGACTTGCCAGACAAGTTCTTTTCATGAATACTTTTTGCAAACCAATTCCTGAAGAGCTTTCAAAAGCTGTCCGTTCTTCATTACTCTGAATTGCTTCCATAATCACACTAAATTGTAATAAGGGATTTACAACAAATTTCCCTTTCCCAATAGAGACCAATGTTTTCTGACCCAGTTCCAACTAAATCACCTCATTTCAGATTCAGTTAGGATCAGTTTCCCCCCACCCCTTCCAATGCTAAACACTGAAACACATGTCCTCTCTTCTCCAACTCTATCACAAGTTGTCTGAGGAAAAACAAAATATTTCCCAACAACTTAGTCCCCACTTTTCCCCTAGATGTGAGCTACAGATGATTCTAATATACTCTTGACGTAATAGCATATAGACACTCATCTGATCCATTTCCTCTCTTCCCTTTAGAAGACACTTCCATGTATTCTGAAAGTAAGATTACTGTATATTATAAAGGTGCCTTATTTAACATTAAGGCTGTCCATAATAAAGTTTACAGAAGCTTAACATTGCTAGCTTCAGAACTTGGTCTTACAGATACTCAAACACGTTCTTAGTAAGATGTAGCAAAACTGTTGCTTGCGATTTCTATCTAACTTTTCTTGTTATATTTACAACAGAACAGCCATCTATCTTTGACAAGTGATGGAAACTATTACTGCCATCTGTGCTGACTTCAGCTGGTATAAGACCAGCTGAAGACAAGATTCCTTCAGCTACTCTGAGCTGCTTACTCAGCTGACAATAATAAAAGTCAAACTCGTTCACAGCAGTCTTGCACAGCAAAGTCTCTGCTTATCTCAGAGATACTCAGTCACTTCTCTGAGATACTTTTTACCATTTAAGAATAAAACTATTTACTTACTATCTGCTTTTAATAACAGACTTCTCAGAAAGCTTTACAATTACTTTCTCTTAAAACATGTCTATCAACTGGGCTAAAATTATTAAAAAAGAAAAAAAGAAAAGCTGCTACATGAAGACAATATGTTGTTTCCTATATATAAACTAAATTAAATTTCTA